CAGCTGGGCTTTGTCTCGCCCAGTCCGTCATAGCGTAGCGTGGCCCAGGGTTGCCCAGCGTAGCTTTGGCTAGCACAGCGCCTTTCTTCGCAGTCTGTCATGGCAGGCGAGGAGACGCAGTGCACGGTTTTCTCTGCCCTGATGCACTCGCCGCGGGGGGACACATTCTCTCCTGCTGCCCTGGCTTTCCTCAATGTCCCCTCGCTTTGCGTTGCTCGCCGCCAGGGTAACGAAGGGCGCTGCGAAGGGCCTTGACCCGACCACCACCTTCAACAGGCGGCTCCGCCCGCTGGATTGACCCATCAGCGTGTTCTGCAATCCGATTCCTCCCCCTCCTCCTTCCCATCCTTCCCCGCCTCCTCCTCCTGCTCCTCCTCCTCCTCCATCCCGTCCTTAGATGTTTCGCTTTGCAGCATATTTTTTGGGGCCTCATCGGTTTCCTAGAGGGCACTAGCGAGCACTACAGCACACAGCAGAGAGCAGTTCGACGGAGTGGAATTGTTAGATGCAGATGTAGGGTCGGATGTAGTTAGTGTAATGTGAGGACAGTCGCATGTTTCGCGGACCTCTCAGTTGTAGCTTGGCCCGCGACGAACCCTACGGCCGCCCTTGACTCAAGCTAATGATGCCCGAGCTGACGTCGCCGTGCGTGTCGAAAGCTCGTGCGTTTTCGCCAGTGAGGTACAGCACCTTCCTTGGAATGCATTCCTGCCCCTGATTTCTTTGGTCCTAATCCTCGTTCCTCCCCTCCTGCTTCTCCCCCCCTTCACTGTGCTCCTCCTCCCTGTCCCCCTTTACCCAGGTGTACGTGGCAACTCTCTCCAGGTCCGACTCCTGATAACTGTAAGGAAGGTGCGACATCTTTCTCGCCGCCGCCACTCCTTGCTACTGAACTCATGCCCAAACAACCCGTCGTGTGCAACTTCATCAATTGCTTGAATGTTTCTGGATTCGTCCTCGCATCTGCCACCATGATCTCCGTTGGCACATGTACTGTCCACCTGATCCGCGTAGTGATCCGCTCCCCTCGTAATGTCATCTGGAAGACGCTGCTGCTTCTCCTGAGGCACGCCCTTCAGGCCTGTTACTAACTCGAATACGTCTTTGCAGTCTGTGAAATGATGATCGAGTGGCAGCTCGTGAGATCCACACTCGTTGACCTGCACCATGGTACGAACTCGCTGGTGCTGAGAGGTATTCAGATCCACCTGCATCTCTGTGAGTCTGAGCAATTATCTGCGCATTTACTACACTCAAGGCACAGTTCGTCTCGCCCATGCTGGTTGGGAGAGCCACCTTCTTTGCCTAGTTCAACCAGGTCGCCATCGAGTGACACAGTCCGAAAGTGAAGTCCAAGCAACTGGTTGTCACTCTGCGCATTCTTGAGAACCGCATTGGCCCGATTGAGTTGAGTCACGTTCGGCTCGTTGTTGAAGCCTTGCAGCTGCGTGACCTACGTCAATATGTGAACGTTGCACTGGCAAAGAAACAGCATACTCGTCATACATCTGAAACCATACGCGTGCTGGGCTGGAACCAATTGATCGTCATTTAAACTGGGAGCCTTGCCCGGCTTGATGTTCCTGGTCCAGCTGCTGAATCACAATGCTGTCATTGGCCAACCTGCTGTATTGAGCTCCGATGTGCATGAAGGGCAGATTCTGACGCTTAACCGCCTCGAACTTTTTCTCAACGCTTCTGACGCTTAAGGAGGATATCGTCCACGTGCATCTATAAACTGCCGCGAGCTTGTCCGTCATCGCCGTCAGGAGACTTTCAGGAACACCATATGTTTGTGCCATGTGAGGATGCCGCCATCGTAGTGTGTCTATGTCCTTCACCGTCCAATGTACAAGTTGTTGTCCCATAGGCTGATCCGAGCTTCAAGTTGAGACAACAGATCTGTGAGGGCGTGACACTGAGCCATAAATACACTGAGCCATAACGACTGAGTCTCGAAGACGTGCTGGAGTGCCTTTGGATCTGGTGTTTCTGTGAGTCGAATCCACGGCCGCAGAGTCGGCTTTTTGCCCCCGCCCCCCCCCCCACAGCTCCGTCTTCTGGTTGAGCTTCCAACGACGTAGCCAAAATTCGTGGATCACGTTGCGCGAGGCCTGGTCCTTCACCGCTGCACACGCGAACATAGAGCGGTCTACGAAAACCGTCAGCTCTGCCCGGTCCACCGCCTCGACCAGGTCCCAGTTCTCATAGATCCCTTGCTCGCTTAAGTTGCCGACTGCTTGCGCTGCATTTGTCGTTGCCTCGCCAGTGTGCATGTCGAACAGGAAACGCTGCCTCTGTCGCCACTGGCCTGCGGTGACCCAAGCTGACTGAGACCGACTCCAAAGAAGCTCTGCCTCATTCGAGCCGCACTGATTGTCGATCCAGTCGGCGAAGTAGTTCGCCTGGCGCCGTTTCTCGATCACCATCGTCATAGAGTCCGAGAGGCAAGATTCTCGGATGCTGTTCAGGTGCTTTGGCGTCCCCCGTCAAGAGATCCATGCAACTCGTCGAGGTATTGCGCCTAGCAAAGAGGTCCTCGTCATTCATCGGAGGCGACCTGCTCTCTGACATGTCCACTTGAACAGGTAGGTCGATCGGTGCAGGATCTTCAGCAGGCAACTTCTGCAGCTGACACCAATTTTCCGAACTGAGGCCCTGTTGTTCTCGATCTTCGACTGGATTCTCCGCTGCCAGTGCCAATGCCTGAGAAGCACCAGACAGCGGTTGTGGCTCTGATTGCGTGCCAGCATGCGGCCTCGATGCTGGCTGCTCCATCGATGTAGTGGTTGCTGGATTCGCGTCGTTGCGACTCCTCTCGAGAACAAGGCGCTCCTGCGATGGAGCCAGACTCTGTTGAGTCGCCCCTGGTGCAGAAACGTCAGGCGACATATCACTCAAATCCCTCGATAGGTCCAGCTCAGATGTCTGCTGCGGTGCAGGTGCTGGAACATGTGGTGAATGGTAAGATGTCGCCCAACCCCTTCGAGGTACCTGAACTTCAGGAAGTACGTCGCTTAGCTCCTTCGACAGGTCGAACTTTGGTGCCTGCGGTGGCTGATGTACTGGAACTTCGGGAAGTCTGTCGCTCCTTTCTTTCGTCAGATCAAGCTCGGATGTCTGCTTTGGAGATGTGCCTGAGGTACGTTCGACGTTACTGATTTCGGTGGTGCTGCTGGCCAGACCGTGTGCCACCGAGGTAGAGGTTGACATTGAGTTGCGCCTGAGGGCGCTAAAACTGGCCATGCTGAAGTCGCAGGTAGAGATTGAGCCGCTGGCAGACGCGCAGGAGGCTGCGAATGAGGATACCTGTGTAGTCGAATCTGCATCGGATAGCCGATCGTCGTAACTGGCGCCGGAGATTTCTCGGGTGTCTGCTGTCGAGCTTTCGGTGTGGTGTCTTGCTTGATCGGCTCTGGCGTTCTGTGGCTGATCTCTGTTGAGGCTGTTATGCGCTGCGGTGTCTGGACAGAAGATTCGGGGAACGTGCCGTCCATCTCCATAGATTTGTTTGCCGCTGAAGCCTTCGATGGTATCGTTGCTGATTGGGCCGCCTCGAATTCCTGGGACATGGACAGAGTGTCCGTCAGTGGAGGTCAGCCTGAACCGATCCTGACGGTGTCGAGCGAGGAGGAGAGGGTGGAGTCTTCCCAGTCACCATCATCAGGCAAAAGGCTAATCATATCACGGATGTCTTGCTCGATATCTCGCATGTTCTCAGGCCATTTTTCGGTGTTGCTCAGGTCGTTCATGACAGGAATATCGTTGTCATCGAGGTAAGGGCCTACTGGCAGCTCCGTGCGGTGCATGAGGTTCAACGTGGTGTCGTCCCAACCGTTCTTGGAGAAATCGCCGATGTTGATGCCCTTGTCTGGCCGAACCTCCTGCGCCAAATAGCGTGCGCGGTCCGAGCGAGACCAGGTAACAAGCAGTCCGTGATAGATCTGATCGAGAACTGGTATTCGTCTGATTGAGGTGCCATACACAAGACCATCCACGCTTTTGAGATGAAATGCCCGCTTAGAGATCCTCAGGCACAGCGTCCAGTGTACTAAGAACCGCAGTTGGGGAACTGGCGGTGTGCAGCTCAGGGCGTTGCCGTCGAACAGCTTGCCGATCCTCATGCGCTGACCGCAGGCCGTGCCGTCGAAGAGCCCATTGGATCGACAAGATTCGTGACCTCTTCAGTGGTTGCCATCGTCAAACCTGAGCTTCTCGAGTTTGATAGCGCGCCGTCGCATGAGTCTGGTCGGTAAGACATACGGAATGGCATTTCAAATTGCGATGGCAGTCCCTCGATAAAGTTTGACCAGTTCAGCTGGCCCTCGCCATCGTGATTGATCCTTTCGCTCCAGCACGCGGTAGATATCTATCGGCAGGCTCGCTTGGCTGAAGTCGCTGTGCTGGAGGCGTCTGTTGTTATCGAGTTCGATTGCATCGAGCGATGCGGTCCTCCGCGAGACTCGTGGCCATGGCCGTCTTGGCCTGTGTCCTGAGCCTTCATGCCGACTCGAATGGATCAGGACAGCGGTCGGCCGCAGGAGCGACAGAGTCCAGTGTGGTGGCTTCCATGTCGTAGGAGTCGCGAGGGGTAGACCCCACTGCCACCTGGTTCGCCGTCTGACCCCCGTAGGACAGGGCTGGACCTAAACTTTGTTTTTCGTTTTGTTTTCGTTTTGTTGTTGTTTTGCTCTACCTGTTTCCCTGCACTGTTTGTCAAGACGAAAAACAACATGTAGCTGAAGCTTAGCAATGCAGCGTTTAGGTCCAGCCCTGCCGTAGGACACGAGCGAGTTGGAGACCACGTCCGCCTCCAGGCCTTGGGACCAGCAGCTCTTCTTCCGCTTGAGCGAACGAAGCCTGACCATAGAGACGATAGGGGGAAACAATTAGTGAACACTCCCCCGTTCCCCAAACTTTCAAAGCTGGCATGCGCGGGGAAGACTGCGGTCGAAGTGCAACCCATTCAACCCAACGCCAGGGTGAATCATGGGGGGGCATTGGCAGATGCACGTGGTACGAGTGTTCGCTCATTTCTTCCGAGGCCTGGATCCAGCGCTCGACCACATCCGTCATCGTGTGGTCGTCGGTGCCCGCGTAGTGTCGCCGAAAGTGGAACTCGTCGCAAATCCTCGAGGCCATCTCCGAAACCATGCCGCCCTCCTGGTCTAGAATCCAATCGCGATGGGGGACCGGAATATCAGATCCAGCTGCGGAGCACTTTCGTAAGTAGTTCTCCAGCTGCGCGATCTTTGAGGAGGAAGGCTGCTGCCTTGAATTTGCCGAACTCGTCGGTAATCACGATAATCACTCGTCCCACTGAAAAAGCAGGTCCATCTGAATCCGATGGGTGAAGTAGGCCGCCGTGGTGATGTCGATCTGTGGCTTCGTCGCTGGTGGCATGAAGCCCTGGCAGTTCTTGCAATCCTTTGGAACGAAAGCCAGGACCCGAGCAATCCAAGTTGTTCATCAGTCGCCTCGCTTAAGCAGTATCGCCATGTCTGGAACCGAGGCGCGTCAAAAACGAACGTGTGGTCGAATATGACAGCGAATGCATTATTTCTTGTCCTTGTTGGCCGCTGCCTCCTTCAGTCGCTTGAGGAGGTTCGCCAAGTTGAAGCTCGATTTCACGTAGTACCACTCTTTCTTGGCGATCCTGGGTTCTTCGGCAGCTGCCACCGGCTCGGCGCCCGAGGAGGGCTCCTCGGATGATGCCACCCCCGGCGCCTGGTCCACTTTCTCGTCCAGGTCGGGTTCCAGAGGCACCTCACGCAGTGGCTGCACAGCCGTCTCCTCAGGATCAGGAGGCTCGTCGGTTGCTGCTATTGCTGCTGGTGCTGGCGCTGCTGGCTCCTCCTCGTCGTCCGAGTCCTTAGTCTGTGCTGGAGCTGCGGGAGCTGCCGCGGGTACTTCACGAGGAACCTTGGTGCTGGCCAGCTTGCACTGACCTGGAATCCGCGAGTGAGGTACCTCCTACTTGGATCCATGCTTGCACCGAGGACAAGACCACAGGATGAGGTTGGTGTCGTCCGCAGCCTGATCACAGCAAGTGCCCTGGTGGAGGTTGAGGACAGACTGCCCCACAAGCCTCGTGATGTCCTCGCCGATTGTGTCACAAAGTAGCTTTGGAGATACAGCCGCACGAGCAGTCCTGTGAACTCCGTCGCTGTGTCCGACCAGATGTCCGTGAGGTATGTACTTTGCATCTGCAATGCCGTGCAACACTTCGATTGTCAAAGGTGCTGAGGTAGTTGGTTCTCTTGCGGATGGGCTCGCCCTCGTCGTTGATGGCGCCAAACGGACAGTGATCACCGATGTACTGCCTCATGCTTGTGTCCGAGTCCTAATCCGGTACGGATATGGTGATCACGGATGTACTGCCTCATGCTTGTGATCACCGATGTATTGCCAATGGATCCGGAGACGGGAGCTTGCGTTCGAGTCCTAATCAGGTCGACCGGGTGGGCGCGAAGATGATCGCACCTTGCGGGGGCGCGGTCTGGGCCAGAGCGGCCGCCCTTCCCCCTTAGTCTCGGTGCAGGGGCGCGAAGGCATGAGGATCATCGCGCGCCGCGCATCGCGGGGCGCGACGTCAGGTGGCCTAGGAGTGCCGAGAGGGCGGCGGCCGCGGCCGCGAGTGACGCGTCGCCCTGCCGGCGACGAGGGCGCCGGCTCCGCCACGCCGAGCCGCGGCCCCGCCGCGGCTCGGCGCGGGCGCGCCTCTCAAGCTCGTGGCCGGCGGCCCCGATTTCGTCGGCCAAAGGCCCTGGGATAGGGCTGGGGTCGGGCCAGCCGCCCTCCCTTCGCCTTGCCCTGAGCAACGGGGGGCCCTTGGGCAGGCCCTGGGCCCTGGGATAGCCCACCTCCCACCCCCTAGGGTCCACACCAGCCAGCGGCCCCCCGAGGCGCTGCGGCGCATCCGCCCCGCCGCCCCCAGATGCCCCCCCCCTGCGGCACGGCCCTGCGAACGAGGCCGGCTGGCCTCGGCGGCGCCCCCCGCCCGCGGCCGCCCCCTGTGGCCAGCGTCCTCGGCGGCCAGCCTCGGGCGCAGGGCCCGGCGCAGATGCCATGGCGTCGGCTGCCCGGCCGCGTGCCGAGGTTGGCGGCCGACGGCGACGGGCAGCGGGCGGGAGCCTGCACGGGGAGGCTGGCGACCCCTCGGGTGCGACAAATCAATCCAGATGCGACGGCCAGCCCCGGTGCGATGTAAACGAAAGCTGGGTTCATGTGCGAGAAGCACCCAGGTTCGATCCGATCGAACGACGCGGTCCACTTATCACACTTGAGTTTTGAATCGCAGTTTTTTGTTAATCGTACTTGGGCCACTGCTTGTGGAAGCCGCGCAGGGCGCGCAGGTCGGCTGTACAAAGGGCCTCGCCCCACGGCGTGCGGGGTGGCGATATCGACGGCGAGGCGGTGAGCCAGAACGAGAGGGACAACCTGGAGCGTTCCTCCCCCCCCCTCCCTCTCCCCTTCCCCTATCCACCCCCTTCCCATCCCCACCTCCTCCCTTCCTCTCCTTAGCGACAGCGGCAGTACAAGGGAATGACCAGGAGGAGGAGGAGGAGGAGGAGGAGGAGGAGGAGGAGGAGGAGGAGGAGGAGGAGGAGGAGGAGGAGGAGGAGGAGGAGGAGGAGGAGGAGGAGGAGGAGGAGGAGGAGGAGCGGGAGGAGCAGGAGGAGCAGGAGGAAGAGAGAGTGGAGGTGCTGGGACTTCGACAAGGGGAAGTGCTCTCGAGGGAGCAGCTGCTGGTACCTGCACGTCGAGGAGCGGCCGGTGGTCTGGTGGGCGATCCTCCCCCACTCCCCCAGTCTCCCTCGCGTCCGGGCGCGCGCGGGCGCGGGGCGTTGGGCGAGGGGCCTCCTCCCCCGACACCTCTTCCTGCTCCTCCTTCTCCTCTTCTTTCCCTCCACTTTCCCTCCTCTGCCATTCTCCCCTGCAACCGCAAAGCCGGCAAGGTTCCGATCTCTTCTTCGCCCACCTTCGCGTGCGGGTGCTCGGCGCCGGCAGTTTGGATTTGGACTGCGACCACTTGCGAACATGGCGGTGGGTTCGTGTTGTGCAGAAGAGGCGACGACCTTGCCGCGGGCGTTCATGGCTGAACGCCGCCAGCGGCCCAGAATCCGACAATACAGAACGATCTGTCGAGAGTGCAACGCCGCGGTTGTTACGGGTCCTATCGACGCAGGGGTATCGGACACCCCTGCTGGGGTTGGTTCATTTGCTTGCAGACATCCTTCAAACTTTGCGCTCCAACCATTTTGTTTGCAGTAGTCTTACCTGCAGGGGTAAGTTGGGTTCACGTGTGGTTGCCTACCGCAGCTCCTCATGTCAGGCCGCTGCCACGTCTCCATCCCCTTCGCCCTGGCTTCCTCTACTTGACGGCGGCTGCCCAGGATGGAGGCAAGGGCGGCAAGAGCAAAGACGAGGCCCGAATTCAAACGGGAAGGGGATGCAGAGGAGCAGGAGGAGCAGGAGGAGGAGGACAAGGCAGAGGACGAAGAGGAGGAGGAGAGCAGGAGAGCAGGAGGATGAGGCAGGACGCGATGTCACGAAGAAGGCGGTGCACTCTGCCCACCTGTCCATGACTTTTGGGAAGGCTCGGTAATACGATTGGCGGCATCAGTGCGCACGTGGGCGATGGCACACGGCACCATCGACTCAGCATTGGTTTTGATTTTCCCATGGTTGCCGCATAAGGTTTGTTGCGACCAAGATGATGACGATGAATCCCACGACGCGGAGAACTACCAATACGTATGGATGCGTCAGTACATAATTATAGTGTGCGGTGCGCGACGATGACGCTCTAGTTGTGGAGGACGATTGGGAAATCAGTGCACGACGAAGATGCCCGTTGTGTGCAATGCTTCTTCGCATGCGGCCTCTTCTTCTTTCGTACTACGACGACGACTACTACTACTACTACTACTACTACTACTACTACTACTACTACTACTACTACTACTACTACTACTACTACTACTACGACGACTACTACTACTACTACTACTACTACTACTACTACTACTACTACTTTACTATTACTATTACTACTACTACTACTACTACTACTACTACTACTACTACTACTACTACTACTACTACTACTACTACTACTACTACTACTACTACCACTACCATTATTATTGTTGTCATAGACTGGTGTGGTTGTTATTGATTTCATGGCTATTCAGCGTAATATGGCCATCATCACTTTCATGCCATATGTTATTAATCATATGACTCTTACTTGTGCTATTCGTATGATTACGTCTATTATTATGACGATTAGTAGTAACCTGATTACGAATACGATCATGTCTGTGAGTATGACTACGAGTATTCTTATTATCAGTATTCGTACGAGTGATATTATCATGCTAATCATTCGTATTACCATTATTGCTGTCATTGGTATTATGATTTGTGTGCATGGTATTACTGTCAGTATCCTGTTCCGTCCCCTCTCTCTTCTATTTTTCCTGCTTCCTCTTTCTCTCCCGCTGGGGGGCATCCCTAGCGGGAACCTCGAGGTGGCGGGTATTTCTCTCCTCTCCTGTCCCGCTTGCCCGCACGCCGTGCCTCGCAAAACCTCCAAAAAGACCTCCCTTCTCCCTTTTCACTTCTCCCTCCTCCGTCGCCCTCGCCACCCCGCTTCTCCTCCTTCTGCTCTTACCTCACCTCTCGTCGCTCGTACCTCCCTTCTCATTCCCTCCGTTCCTCCTCCCCCCCACACGCCTCGTTCTCCGCGCTCGTTCTGTCGTTCGTTCCTGCGTGCTTGCTCTTTCGTTCCTCTCCCATCCCTTTCCTCCCTCCCCTGCGTCCCCGATGAGGAGGAGGAGGACGAGGACGAGGAGGCGGAGGAGGAGCGAGGAGCGAGGAGCGAGGACTCCCCTCCCTCCTCCCTTCTTCCCCTCTGTCTTCGTCGTCCCCGCCCCCGACGTGCAAGAGCGCCCCTGCCGCCAGGCAGGCAAGACAAGGCCTGCGCTGGGCGAGG